AAATAAAAATAGACTTTCACTCCTTAAATCTGTGTTCTTGCCTGAATCAATTATTACTCACAGGATAGACTAAAGGAAACCTGAAACACTGGATCATGACAATTATAAATGTTCTATTTTTTTTATATTATATTTGCAACCCTGTTGTAAAAAAAAAAAAAAAAGCTTAATCATACTTATCAAAAAGATCAGGTGGTGTTGAGGCTAAGGCACTGGATCTCAGGGCCAACTATGTAGTTCAAATCCCACACCCAGCAGCTTCAAAATCATGCCAGACACATGTGTGTGCATGCCCAAAAAGGCACAAAATCCCAAGAGGAGAAGAGATTGGAGCGTGGCCATCCTCCAGGGTTGCGGGTGATTTCTCGCTTTCTGTCTCTGTTTTTCTCTGTCTCTCTGGTGAGTGCACATTCTCTCTGGTGAGTGCACATGCCCTATAGCAAAAATCTCTCCACCAAAAAAAAAAAAAAGAAAGAAAGAAAAGAAAGAAACACATGGGGGTTGGGGGGGACCAACAGATGACAAAGTGGTTACGTTGCTGGACTCCTGCATGTCCGACGTGGTTCAAGTCCCAGACCTGCTGGCTCAAAATGCACACCGGGCATGTGTGCATACATGCATGCTCAAGATTCCAGGAGGAGAATAGAGGAGAAGGGATTGCAGCATGGCCATCCCCTCTGGGGGATCATTTCTCACTTTCTATCTCTTGTCTCTCCAGCGAGTGCATGCACCCTATAGCAAAAATCTCTCAAAAAGGAAAAAAAAACAAAGAAAGAAAAACACCTTGGGCATGTGTATGTGCATGTCTGAAATCCTGAAAGGGGGAGGAAATGGAGAAGGGATTGCAGGGTAACCATTTCCCCAGGGGTTGCTTTCTCACTCTCCCTTTCTCTCTCTCTTTCTGCCTCTCTTCTGCCAGTGTATACACCCTCTAGAAAAAAAAAAAAAAAAAAAAAAAGCCAGCCGGTGGCATCTGATTAGGGTTTGCAGATTTCCTGGTTTTTATCATTTTACTGAGCTTACATAAGAGAAGGGCTGGTTCTTAGAAAATTCAGAGAATGAGGCCATAGATGGTGTAGCTGTTATGTTGCTGGACTCCCACATGGCCAACTGCGGTTCGAGTCCCGGATCCTGGGCTTAACCTCACGCCGGGCGCGTGTGCATGCGTGCCCAAGATCCCAGGAGGAGAATGGAGGAGAAGGGATTGCGGTGTGGCCATCCCCCCCCCCGGGGGTGTGTGTGTGATTTCTCGCTTCCCCTCTCACCGTCTCTGTCTCTCTCTCTTTCTGGCAAGCACACATGCTCTAAGACAAAAACCTCTAAAAAAAAAAAAAAAGAATTCAGTGAAGTCTTTAGATGGATGGATGGATAGACAGAGACGGGTATGGGAGCCTGGGCTCCCCGCAAGTGGTCCTCTGTCCCTCTTGCCCCAGACCGGTTTCTGGTGAAGTCCTTATATGTGAGAGAGACGTTTCTCTCTCATTTCATTAATTTATCTTTATTATCATTTGTATCTGAGCCTAATCTTTTTGAAATTGTCTTTTTTTCAAAGAATTATTTTATTTAACTTTATTTATTTATTTAATTTTTGTATTTGACCACAGCAGGACAGAAAGAGAGAGAGGGAAAGTGAGAAAGCAAACCTCCAGGTCTGGGACTCAAACCATGGTCGGCCACATAGGAGTCCAGTACCCTTAACCACCACACCACCTGCTGGCCCCAGCCTAATTTCAAGATTGTTATTAAAAGAAATATTCTTAGCACCACCAGGTGGTATGGTGATCGGGGTGCTAGACTTTCACATAGCTGGCCACAGTTCGAGTCCCAGACCTGGTGGCTTGCTTTCTCATTTTCTCTCTCTCTCTTTCTGGTGAGCACACATGCCCTATAGGAAATTAAAATGGTAAGAATAAATACAGTTGAGTAAATAATTTTTAAAGAATTATTTAATTTAACTTTATTTATTTATTTTAGTTCAACCAGAGAAGAACAGAGAGAAAGAGAGAAAGTGAGAAAGCAAGTCGCCAGGTCCGGGACTTGAACTGCGGTTGGCCATGTGGGAGTCCAACGCCTTTAACCACCATGCCCAATAAATAATTATATTTTAGAAAAGAAAGAAATTTTCTTGGGCCAACAGGTGGCGTGGTGGTTGGGGCGCTAGATCCCCCATGGGGAGATCCAGACCCAGTGGCTTGGCTTGAGGGACACACCAGGCCTGTGAGCGTGTGTGCCCAAAATCCCCAGAGGAGGATGGAGAAGGGTCTGTAGTGTGGCCATCCTTCCTGGGAGGGTGATTTTTCACTTTCCTTCTCTCTCCCTCTGTCTCTGGTGAGCGCATGCACCCTATAGCAAAAAACAATATTTATATATATAATGATGCTGCCTGAAGATAAGCAGATGAGGGGATGGAGAGAAGAAAGGGGTAGTCAGGGAGGGACTCTCAGAGGAGGTAGCAAATGAAGAAAACATGTGGATGTCTGGGGAAAATTTACAGGCTCTGGCCAGGCCTGTGTCTCTTCCCCACCGCACCTGCATGCCCCAAACCCCATCCCGGCTAGGGCTCAGATTTCCACACAGAGGCTGTCTGTGTACTGCTCCAGGAGGGGAATTCCAGCCCTCTGTCTGCCTTCCGCCTTCCGGTTGACTGTCCTGGGTTGGAGCTGCGGTTGCTGGACGGGGCTCCAGCTTGGGGGCTGGAACACCTCGCCAGACCTATTTTCCTTACTTTTTTTTTTTTCCTGGAAAGGGAGCATGTGCTTGCCTGAGAGACAGAGAGACAGAGAGACAGAAAGAGAGAATCATCCCTCTGGGGAATGGCCACACACAATCCCTTCTCCTCCATTCTCCTCTCAGGATCTAGGGTACACACACGCATGCACCCGGCTCAAGGTTTTTTTTAAAGAGTTATTTTATTTAACTTTATCATTTTTTAATTTGACCAGAGAGGGACAGAGTGAGAAAGAGAGAGAGAGAGGGAAAGTGAGAAAGCAAGCCACCAGGTCTGGGACTTGAACCGCAGTCAGCCATGTGAGAGTTCAGTGCGCTTAATCACCACACCACCTGCTGGCCCCTGCACTCGGCTTGAGTTTTAAGCAGCCAGGTCCAGGACTTGAACTGCAATCGACTACACGGGAGTCCAGCGACATAACCATTACGCCACCTGCTGGTCCTCAGACCTATTTTCTTTTTGGCTAGATGAGTGCACTGGAGAGACAGCAAGAGCCAGCGAGGAAGGAAGAAATTACCCCCGAGCTACGGATTCTGGGCATGCAAACACTCACGCCGAGCCTGATTTCAAGCCGCCGGGTCTGGGACTCGAACCACAGTCAACTATGTAGGAGTCCATGCCCTTAACCACTATACCACTCGCTGACCCCTCCAGACCTATTTCCAAAGTTGCCTCTGTGCCCTTTGTCTCCAGGAAGAGGAGGAACGTAAAAATGGGAGCCCTTCAAAGGACTGGTCTCCCAGCTCCATCCCACTCAGTTTCCTCCTGATTCTGATTCTGGGGAAGGCCGTGGCACCCTTCCATAGCAGAGGGGATTGAGAGGCCTCTCTCTCCAGCCCAGTGGGGTCCTGAGTCAGTGCACTGGGTTCAAATCCAGAAAGGCATTGCCCCAACTAGCACTGTGTGATTCTAAGCAGCTCCCTTAACTTCTCTGAACCCACATCTCCAGGAAGAGATTTTCAAGTCACTGGGTCTGGGACTTGAACCGAGATCGGCCACATGGGAATACAGCGCCTTAACCACCATGCCACCCACTGGCCCCATCTTCTTTTCTTTTCTTTTTTTTTTTAATTGCCAGAGAGTGTATGGTTTTGCAAGAGAGACAGGGAGAAAGCACCTCTGATGATGGGGTCCAGTCATGCCACAATAACCCTCTCCACTTCTCCATCTTGTTGGGATTTTAGGCACGTCCACACACACAGTGTTTTCCAAGCTGCGGGAGTGGGATGCGGTGAACCCTGGTGGGTCACATGGGATCCAGCTTCCTTTACCCCTAGGCTATACGGGTTGCTTCCTTCTTTCTTTCTCTCTTTCTTTCTTTCTTTCTTTGGAGAAGTTTTTTGCTATAGGGCGCGTGTGCTCGCCAGATAGAGAGAGACAGAGAGACATAGAGACAGAAAGCAAGACATCACCCCCCAGGGGGGATGGCCACGCCACAATCCCTTCTCCTCCATTCTCCTCTCGGGATCTTGGGCACACACGCATGCACACGCGCCCGGCGTGAGTTTAAGCCACCGGGTCCAGGACTCGAACCGTGGTCGACTACGTGGGAGGCCAGCGACATAGCCATTACATCAACTGCTGGGCCCTCTTTTTTTTTTTTTTTTTAAGAGATTTTTGCTATAGGGCGCATGAGCTTGCCAGAAAGACAGAGAGAGACAGAGAGACATAGAGACAGAAAGCAAGACATCACCCCCCAGGGGGGATGGCCACGCCACAATCCCTTCTCCTCCATTCTCCTCTCGGGATCTTGGGCACGCCCGCACACGCGCCCGTCGTGAGTTTACGCCACTGGGTCCGGGACGCGAACCGAGGTCGACTACATGGAAGTCCAGCGCCACAGCCATTACTCCAACTGCTGGTCCCTATATTGGTTGTTTCTTTAAAGGAAAGCAAGGAGGGGGCCAGCAGGTGGTGTGGTGGTTAAGGGCTCTGGACTCCCACATGGTCAACCATGGTTCGAGTCCTGGACCTGGTGGCTTGCTTTCTCACTTTCTCTCTCTCTGATAACATTAAAATAAATAAATAGAGTGAAATAAAACAATTATTTCAAATCAGTCTATCCATCAAGGCCAGCGGGGAGGCCCCAGGCCTATATCTTCACCAGGAGAGGCCACACGGCTGCCCCAGAGGATTTCTGAGCCACGGCAATCCTGGCTCCGCAGAGTGCAGGGCGGGGACACAGTGGGCTGCCCGGATGGCGCTCACCCTCCTCTGCCCCTGCGGGGCCGGCGAGGAAACCCCCGCCGGAGCGTAGAAAGACACAAAGACCTCCGGGAAGCGAAACTGAACCGTTTATTGGCCGGGGTCTGGGTCTCAGGCATCTGGGAAGCTTGGCTCCGTGCCCCCCAAAGACCCTCCCCGGTTTTTGATTTCACATGAAATTACACTGAGGCGTGAGGTTTCTCTCCCCCTGATGAGGTGAACCCCAGCTTCCAAGCGGGAAATGAGCCAGGGGTTACTCAGGGGTCTGGGTGAAGCCAGAGCCCGCCCCACACACGACTTTGGCAGCATTGCTACGGACACAGAACGCAGGGAGACAGAACGGCATCCATGCTGGTGGGGGGGGGTACATGATGCAGACACACGCGTGCACACACACACACACACACACACACGCTGACACACATAAATACATGTTTGTACCGTAACTACTGTCGTGTCCTTTCCATCTGTCCACAGGATTTAGCAAAAGTCCTTCTGGGGCAGGTTGGGGAGAACCACCCCAGAAAATGTCCTGGGCCACCCCACCCCTATAGTCCATTTTCTAGACCCTGGAAAGGAGACCCCACAGGTTCGGTTCCAGGTCACGCTCCCTTCGGAGACCTGGGACTGAGTTGGGAGCGAAGGTATTGACGTGAAAGTATTTGGGGGGTTGTTTTGGGGGGTGAGGGGCTCTGTGCAAACATCTCCCCCAGAATTTATTTAAGTTCTTCCTTGCCCCCCCAGTGGGAAACCCCAATTCCTCAGCTCCCTAAACCGGTTTTTCTAATCCTTGGTGCCCCCGAATAGTGCAACTGGCTGGTGAGGTCTGAGAGTGGAGAACGGGAGCCAGCCCTTCCCCCCACATCTCACACGTGGTTTCCGGGCATCTCCTGGACTGACAGGAACGGGAAGGAGCAGCCTGAGCACCAACTGATGAGATTTGGGGAAGCTGTGATTGCAGGCCCCGGGGGCAGGGGTTCCAAAGGACCAGCCTGAGCCTGCCCAGAGAGGTGGCAGGAGGCTCACAGGGAGGGTTTGGTGCAGGGTAGGGAGTGAGGGGGTCAGGCCAACATGAAATCCTTTGTACCTGGTGGTCAACTTCTGCCCTGAACCCCTCTGGGTGACCCCGACCCTTGATAGGATCCAGTTTTAAAGGACTCAAATGAATATAGCACTGGCTTCCAGGGCCCCCCTGCAGCGCTGCCGACTGACCGGTCAGCGCCTCCGCCGGCCACGCCAAGCATGAGATATTTTCGGCATCACCCAGGTCCGCCAGGAGGACGCCTGGCTCAGAAGCCGGTCCTCACCGTCTAAGGCCGCACGGTGCCTCCTGGATTATGTAACCTTCCTGGTCGTCAGCCCCAACCGCCCCTCACACCACCGTGTTGCCCTCCAGAAACGTGGGCGACGTGGGCATAGGTGTGCCCCTCTCCAGGGAGCTGGAGCTGCGGACGGGCAGGAGGGGGTGGCCCGGGGTCCCGTCCTGCCGTCCCTGCATCCCCGCTGCCCTCCGCCAGCACTGCAGGGGCCGCAGGACCTCCCGCCGCAGGTCCCGGCTCCGCCACGTGTAGATGACGGGGTTGAGCAGCGAGTTGAGGGTGGCGAAGGCGAAGAAGTAGTGCGCTTTGTAGAGGACGGGGCAGGTGCGGACGGGGCAGGCGTAGTCCAGGAGCAGGATGCTGAAGGCAGGCAGCCAGCAGAGGATGAAGACGCCCAGCACGATGGTGACCGTCTTCAGCAGAGCCAGCGTCTGCTGGCCCGCCCCGTCCAGGTCGTTGTGGCTGGAGCGGACCACGCAGTAGATGCGGACGTACAGGACGACGATAGCTAGCAGGATGGCGGAGAAGATCGTGACAACGCACAGCACGTACTGCTTGGCGTAGAGCGGCAGGACGGTGGAGCAGGCCTCCAGGCGGCCCAGGCAGTTCCAGCCGAGGATGGGCAGGCCGCCCAGAACCAGCGAGATGAGCCAGGAGGCCCCGATGAGCAGCAGCATGCGACAGCTCTTGTCGCTGCCGTACAGCTTGACCTTGGCGATGGCCACGTGGCGCTCGATGGCGATGGCCAGGAGGCTGAAGACGGAGGCCGACAGCGTGATGAAGGCCGAGCCCTCGCGGGCAAACCACTGCACCGGGGTCAGCTTGAGCGTGAAGGGGCCGGACAGCAAGGTGTTGGCGATGAAGGCCACGCCCGCCAGGAGGTCCGAGGCGGCCAGGTTGCCCAGGAACAGGTACATGGCCGAGTGGAACTTGCTGTTGCGGGCCACCGCCACCAGCACCAGGAGGTTCTCCACCACGATGGTGCAGCACAGGAGGATGATGAGGGCCGAGGCCGCCTGGCGTGAGGGCGTCTCCTGCGTCTCCAGGGTCTCCTTGGTGTAGTTGTAGTGTTCCCAGACCTTGCTGGTGTTCAGGTACTCCGAGTACAGGCTGCCCATGGTCGGGCTCAGCGGCCCGCCGGGGCCATGGGCTGTCAGACTGCAGAGAGAGACGGACAGACAGACGACAGGTCAGATGGGTGGGCGCTGCCTGGGCTCTGTGCTCAGACCGCAGACATAAACGGCTCACCTTGGGACCAGCAGTTAGCGTAATGGCTATGTTGCTGGACTCCCCTGTAGTCGACCGCAGTTCAAGTCCCAGACCCGGTGGCTTAAACTCACGCCGGGCGCGTGTGCGTGCATGCCCAAGATCCCGAGAGGAGAATGGAGGAGAAGGGAGTGGGTGTGGCCAACCCCTCTGGTGGGTGATTTCTCGCTCTCTGTCTCTCTTTCTGGCCAGCGCATGTACCCTATAGCAAAAGCCTCTCCAAAAAATAAAAATAAAAAAAAGTTCCAGTTCTGTCTTTCTTCGCTGAGTGGCCACACAAAGGCGCCATCATTGTCCCTCCCCTGCTTTTACAGAGGGGAAGCCCAGAGAGGTCGATTCACGTTCCCCGAGTCTCCAAGCAAGCAAGAGACACGGCCAGAGAGACTGGCCCCATAGCCTCCATAACCCTAGGCAATACTCTCTCTGAAAAGAACAGAAGCAAGGCCAGCAGGTGGCGTAGTGGTTAAAGGCACTGGACTCCATGTCTGACGACGGTTCAAGTCCTGGACCCGGGGGGCTTGAAACTCACACTGGACACATGTGCATGCATGCCCAAGATCCCAGGAGGAGAATGAAAGAGAAGGCATGGTGGCCCTGGCCAATTTCCGGGGGCTGGGTGATGTCTCACCATCTTCTTTCACTGTCTCTGTCTCCATCCCTCCTTCCCCCCACCCCCTTCCCTGGCAAGTGCACGGGCCCTAAGACAAAAATCTCTTAAAGAAAAGAAAAGTAGAAAAAAAGAAACAAACAGGGCCAGCAGGTAGTGTGGTGGTTAAAGGCACCAGATTCCACGTGGCCGACCACGGTTCAAATCCCAGACCCAGGAGCTTGTAGGTCACTCCAGGCACACGTGCGTATGTGCCCAAAATCCCCAAAAGAGGGAGAAGTGGAGGGGAAAGGAAAAAGGCGTGACCATTCCTCACGAGGGAGCGCTTTCTCACTCGTTCTCTCTCTGCAACACCTACCTTCTAGCGAATGCAATATATATATATGGAGAGAGAGAGAGAGAGAGACAGAGAGAACACGGGCGATGTGAACTTCCAGAAACCTGGTCCCGAGAGTGAGCCCCGGGCAAGGGAAGTCCTGGAGGGCGTGTCTCTGGAGGCGAGGGCGTCTCTCTCTTTCTCTCTTTCCTGGAACACACGGGCGCCTCGGGCCCCTGACCTGGGTCCGTGAGATCCCCAGCCCCGATACTACCATCCCATTCATTAACCACCCACTGCCCAGGATTTCAGGCTGGCTCCACGCCTCGGGGCCATGGGTGCTCCCAAGATAAGGTCTTGGAGAGACGTCAGGGCGGCCTTGAGGTTCAAGCATCCCAGAGGTCACGCCACCTCTAGGGACACAGCCCCTGGGGGCAAGCCAGCGTTCTGGGAAAAGCCACTGGACACGCCAAGTGCGACTTAGCCGCGGCATCCTCATCCCTGGAATGGGGACAGGAAAATCCTTTCAAAGGATGCATGAGGAACACTTAGTAAGAGCACGCAGGGGACAATATTAGCGTGACCCAGCTCCCCTCTTCCCGACACATGCACGCGGCTCTGGACCCGACTTCATGCTGAGTAAACCAACCAGAAGGGCTTCCCCACAGGCTGTTCTCATCGGCACCATCGGGCTTTGCGCAGGGACAGAGGGTCCCAGAGGGGTGGGCAGGGCGCTGGCACCCCCTCCCCAGCCAGGATGAAATCCAGATGTGAGGCCCCGGGAACTTTCCAGTCACATCCGGGGCGGGGAAGTCTTTGGGTAGGGGGGGAACCAGGGGGAGACCTGCCTGGGAGGTCCTGGCTGGGAGGACAGGGCAGTCAGCCCTGAAGTCACGTGAGCAGTGAGGGGGCATGCAGCCCCCCAGGGAAGGGGGGGAAGCATTCGTTTCCATGAAAGCCTGAGTCACTCCACACAGCCCCTCCTTCTAGGAAAACTGAGCCTTAGGGGGAAGGGCTGGGAAGAGGCCCCCGCGTGGGCAGAGGATGAGAGACAGACACCACGGCCTTCCCCCAGCTCGGGGTGGTGGAGGGGGTAGGGTAGGGGGCTCCCAGAGGGGCTCATGCTGGGTCTTTCAAGAGGGAAGCAGAGACAGAAGCAGCTCCAGCCTTTAGCTAAATAGAGGGAGGGGCAGGGAGGGGCGGAGAGGGGCGGGGACAGTCCTGTCCATCCCTGGAAACGCGCCCAGCCAGGACCACATGCCAGGTACGAGCGCTGTTCCAGAAAAGGCTGGTTAGTCCGGTTCCCAGAGAGCCTAGCCGTCATGGGGGCTTCCGGGGTCGCCCAGACATCTCAGTCCCCGGCCACCCCCTTGGAAGGGCATCCTGGCCCCCCGCCGGTCAGAGACAGCTGCTCCCCCAGGGCGGAGGGACATCCGTCCTAGTTTGGGAACAGAGAAGGGCTTGTGCACGTCCCTGGGGACTGCCGCCCCGCCCAGATAGTCACACAGAGGCCCCTTGTTCCCTGGCCGGACGGGGCCCCCGGGCGCCCCGATGCCCTCTGCCCGCTGCAGCCGCTTGGCCTGGCTCAGCCGCCCTTGCCAGACCGGCCGGCGGGGGGCAGGCGGCGG